TAGAAACAGCCCCAACTCCAAGTATGATCAGGAAGAACAAAGGAGACCAGTATGGTACAGCAGGAAAGATTCTGGGCCAAGAACTAAACCTCCAGTTCCTTAGGCTCAAGTCCTACCTGACACAAATATAAACCCAAATAAATTTTGAGAACTTGAGAGGTAGTATAATGTGGTTAAACCTAGACTGAGTTCACATCCTGGCTTTGCTACTTACTAACGGTGTGACAATATACAACATCATGTAAGTTACATAATGTCTCTAGGTTTCAGTCAGTGCATCATTAGTAGAATACAGAGGGGGTGACAAAAATGACTATATAATAAATGTTTGGGTGTTCAAGCAGAAGTGTCATTTTTATAAAAATACCCTTACAAAAACATTTTTGTTTATATATATATTTTTTTTATATTTATATAGATATTGTGTGTGTGTGTGTGTGTGTGTGTGTGTGTGTAGATAGATAGAACTCCAGCATATATATATATGTCAGTATACCTACAAAGCTAAAACCTTATGGTAATTTAGTTTTTGAATGGTCTAATGTACTCCATCTACCACTCACTTCAGTTCATTATACTATGTTATCTTCGGTGTTACTAAAATGCTAGAAACTCTACTCCTAGTATTTCAAATGCTAGCCAAGTCATCCATGTTGGACAAGTCAACACGAATGAGAGGAGCTGTCATGAAGTTAAATGACATATTGCAGCAGACAAATCTGCTGCCAAGGGCCTCTTTAAAGAGCAAAAGTACTTACATAAAGAATTTGCCTGAGTATGTTCTTAATTATCTACCAACAATAGACCAACAAATCTGCATTAGCTGCAAAATCAGAATATTCTTTACTGTTGAATCCTGAGTTCTGTCTGTATCTATATTGATACCAATTCTCGGGAAACACCTGTCCCTTAGAATTATGATCTCTAAAGCTGGAAGTCTATTATTTCCTATTCCAAAGTTATTCTTCCCATAAAACCTTTTCCTTTAATTTATCAGAGAGCATTTCCCTCTAAACTGAATGAAAGGACAAATATTGCATAGCACCATTGTTATAAAGCAGGTCTGACATGAGGGTTTGAGAGGAGAATAGGATAAGAGTGAATAGATAATAAACATTGTACTGGAACAGATGAAGGAAAGAACTGTTTAAAAGGAATACATGATTATGCATTATATGTACAACAATAGCCCAGACCAAGAGATACATTGTAAAGAGGACTGGGGGAGGGAGGGAATGGTGCAACAATAAATGAATATTTAAAAGCAAAAGAGTGAACCAGGGGAAGGGGAGGGAGGGAGGGAGGGAAGAAAGGAAGGAAGAGGGAGTAAAAATGTGCAACAATGAATGAATGAAAATCTAACTTTTCTGTGAACTTTTGTTAAAAGATTTTATAAAAAAAAAAAAGAGCAAGGGTATCACTTTGTGGACCAAGGTGTACCTGATCCAAACCATACTATTTCATAGTGTTGCATATGCATGTGAAATTGGGACAATGGATAAGGAAGATGAAAGAATTGATGCCCTTGAATTTTGGTGTAGGCAAAGAATATTGACTATATCACCACTGTCAAAGGAACCGACAAATCCATTTTGGAATATATGCATGCAGCCAGAATCTTGCTTAGAAGCAGGGATAGGGAGACTAATGGTGCAGGACAGTGCAGTGTTTCATTCTACTGTATTATGAGTTAGATGGAGTTTAACTGATAGCGTCTAACAACAAAACAAGAAGTGTGTTTCATTGTCATTAGTATCTAATTACAATGATGCTTCAAAGCATGTAATTTCTTTATTACAAAAATAAGTGGTTGTTTATGTTGCTGTTAGTGGTTTGATAGTCACTGATTTTATTACATTTCCTACTGTATTAACGACAAGATAGTGTTAATCAGTGTTTGTGAACCTATATCTGTGAAGAGGGAGGGGATGACACCTTAAGATGCACGGAGAGGGGAGAGTCCACTAGGAGTTAGATAACAGCAGCCCTGGAGGCCTCTCAGACTTCAGTTTCTTTGTAGGTAAGATAGAGATGATCAGTATTATAATAGCATTCATTTCCCAAGACGAATATGAAATTTAAATGAGTCATCAGCTAGAAAGCACTAAAATTTTTATTGTCTTCCAAATACATCTACTCCTTATTAACTACTTGATGATCTGAGATTTTTACATTTACAGTAGTAAAAATATTGTTATTTGACTATTTTGCACATTAATGTGATACATAGGGCAGTGATGAAGTCTAAGTGTGAAGAAAGTAACACTGGCTGTGTTGATTAGGGCTATGTGCCATCTTGGTTGGGCCATTATTCTCAGTAGTTGACAATTACTTAATGAAGTAATTTAGCAGTTATGTACTGATGTATATAACTCCAGTTATATACACTTTCCATGTTGTGCTCAGATAGGTTCAACTTTCATTTTCATATAATGCCAATTTTCAAAAAAGAACCTAGACTTTAGAACCCAACAGTGACACGAAGAGTGGCTATATTTTAATCAGAATGCTAATACTAATTATGTTGCTGTTGTTAAGTGCTGTCGAGTCGCAGGCGACTCATAGCGACCCTATGAATGAAAGTCCTGGACACCTCCTATATAACTTTCATCCTGTCTCCAGGTTCATAGAGTTTCTAGAGGCAAGCTATTGTGGAAGTGGATGCCACTACTGCTTTCAAGCTTTTTTTAAATTTTTTATTGAAAATATTTTATAATCAATCCTCTAGAATACTAGCCATCTGGTACAGGAGAAAATTTATGTGGTGGAGGAACACTTCAGTAATCTTAATGTAATATTTGACTAGAGGACTGCATCAGAATTTAACAGATAAAACGTTAGGTTTCTTCACATTTCCCATAGAACAGCTATAGCATTAACAACAGTTCAAGAAATAAATGGCAGAATAATCTAAAATGCCAAGTTCTGAAGTCAAATAGCCAAATACATTAGGATAGTTAGCAAAATAGTTTGTAAATGAAAAAGATAACAGAAAACAGTCTCAAACTGGCTATTTCTTTTTTCTTCTTTCCCCCCAAATAGAGTCTAAGTCTCCAGGAAACAGATAAAGAATGGCCAGAACTTGGCCAAAGCAGTTTTTGGGTAATTATTAATTCCAGTATTTGTAGTTTCATTGCCCAAAGACAAGAGAGCTCCGTGTCACCATCTTTTGCTGCCACTTTATCTTTTTCTTCAAGTTTTCAAATTGCTTTAGAGTAAATAAGTGTGTGGAATATAATAAACTTAAGGAGTACTCTGTTATCCAATCGGAAATGCTACCCTGTTCCCCACTTCATTAGTCTTCTTAAACAATGAACATATTTATGACTTGTTCATTTATTCTCCTGAGTCATTAAGCATATCAATTATAAAACATACAGGTAATACAAACTCCAAAGGTTTCTTATGTTTATGAAATAAACATATGAAAATCAAACTACATGATAACATGGGGGGGGGGAGAGAAATCATGGTTTTATTTCTTTTCCTAAGTGACAGGCTGTGTGTGACGTAAAAGCGTAAAACTCACCACCAAGTTGTGCTAAGAATATTGCAACATTATGCAGGTGGGAAAAAAAAATCTGTGCAAATTAATCTTACTATCAGATGGTGGGAAAAATCATTTAGATACTTCTAACATATTTAAACAACTGAACGCATAGACAACTGTCTCCTCCTTAGGGTAAAACATTACCAACGAAGGAGAAGGAAAATGGAGAAAAAAATATTAAAAAATCCAAACAAAAGCCAACACTGCTATTAAGCTTTTCCTTTTAATATGCCATGAGATATTTTGAGTGTTTATTTTCCAAACAACTTTTCCAGGTGTGTCTCCCAACCCTTTTTTAAGATACCAGTCTTTAGAATGCAGTTATATAGTTTCAGCCAGCTTCTCTTGAGAGCAATATATAATACTAATGACTTTCATAGCTTCACATCCTTAATAAAAACATTTACAAATACCAGAAATGAAGTTTCGAGACATTTGCATAAATTTTAAAGAAAAGAAAAAAGGGGGCGGGGAAGGAATCAGCATTGAGTGGGTTTAAGAAAGGCCACAGTTTGAATTCACAGGCGGCCAATAAACACGTTTTCTGCTGAGGGCAGGGTAAGAGAGGGAGAATAAATGTGGCATTTCTCCATTGGCCCCAAAAGTGCTCATATCACAAAGGGATACATCAAAAGCAAACATGCAATGGTTCTTTTAAAACTTTTACTACAATGTAACAATGGAGTAAACAGTAATCAGACACCTATCAATTTCTCCCAAAACAAAAAAAAAAAATGTAAACAGGAAAATAACTCTGCCTATACTTGAACAGCTTCTCAAATTAGGTTAGAAGAATCTCACAATCAATGATCAAGAGATTTAAAAATAGCAGTAATTATTTTCATTTTAAGAAAAGGTTCCCTTTCTCTCCCCCCCCATCCTACCATCCTTGCAAATATTTAACATGAAAGAATGGGTTTCCTTACACAGTAATTTTATACTTATTTGAAGCAGCAACAATAACCATCAATAAATTTGGCTTTTCTGTTTATATGTTGCTCCAAAATTTTTTCAATGTCATAAAGCCATTATCCAGTGTTGCCATGAAATAGACTGTAGATTCTAGGTAGCAAAGATTCTTTTCAAAACCAAAGTTAAATCAAAGAAATACAAAGCAGAGCATTACACTAAATTTCTGGATCTAGTACACTAAGAGTGAAACCTAGGAAAAATGATTTACTGTTTTATAGAAGAAATAAAGACCTGCAAAAGCTGAATTTTGGTTGTATAATATTTTACACACTGTGGATTTGCAGCATTTGCTAATTTAAGCAGACAAGCACTGTATTTATCCCTGTCCTATATCCTATATCCCTCCCTTCCCACCCCCAACCATCTACTACCTTATACCAAGTATTGTGGATATGAGTCCAAAATCATCCCAGACAATCCAGTGAACAAAGTTAGTGTAATGCACTGGTGTGAAGTGTGAGATTAAAAAAAGTCCTTTTCAATCTTCATCAAAGTTTTGCTGTAGAAGAAAATTGGCAGCCAAATTCTCATTCTTCTCACAAGCAAAGTATGCCTGTATCACAAGTCCTTCAGGAAATCCTAATGCCTTTAACCTTTCTATAGCTTCTTTTTCCTGAGGTGTTACTTGAATGTAGATCATATGACCACTTCCAGCTTCTGCAATTCCACCGCTGCCACCTCCACCCCCTCCTCCTTGACCACCATCTTCTTGTACTGGTTCATTTAACATCTGAATAAAATGTTCCTGGTGTTGGCTAATTTGCTGTTGTAACGGAGAATTCTCTCGACCTATCTCTTGTAGCAATGCTGGAAGCAAGGAGGGATTCTGTTGAATAATTTGTCTCATCTGTTGGAAATGAGGCTGATTCCGTAAAAATTCAAGGGGATGTCCTCCAGAACTAGTTGTTGTAGTTGTGGCTGTTGTAGTTGCTGCAGCTGTAGCCACTGCTGAAGATGGAGGTGCTCCCGTACTAGTTTCTTGAGGGGGATCAACCACAGCTTGACTTTCTCTGTCTCCAGGTATTCCCATTAAAAGATATTCCACTGCTCTGTCAGGGTTGTTGAAACTGGCTCTTAGGGCTGCAATTACTTGCTCTCGTTCATAGCCCATTGACATGATCTCAGTTACCATATTCTTATAGGACTGACCTGTCACAAGAGCACTTGTTGCATCTTCAAAAAGGTTTGACCGAGAAGAATCTCCTGATGTACTGTCACTTGATGATGGACTCGTGGGCACTGGTGTTTCTGTCCGCTTCTCTGCAGGTTTCTCTTGCTTAGCTGCACCCGTAGGTGCAGAGTCAGAAGATGATGCTGTTGATGCCGGAGTGACAGATGGAGTAGGTGTGGGAGTGGGAGCCAAAGCAGGGGTAGGGGCTGGGGATTGGACCACAGCTGCTGTAGAGGAACTAACTGTAGTAGTGGTGACAGAATTTGACTGCTGACTTGTAGCTGGTGCTGGTGTTGTCACTGCTTTGGGTTTTGTGACCATAACCACCACAAAATTTTTCTCATCAATTTTATATTCTTTGAGAGCAGTGTCATCATTGAGGATTTTGCCTGCATAAATTAACTTTTGGTCTGCTACTGGGAAGGCATCTTTCCCTTTTTCAGATTCAATCTTCTCCTTCAGTGCTTTCACCGTCTCCTCGGGGTCGATATCGATCTTGAAGGTCTGCTGCTGGAGGGTCTTCAGAGTGACCTGCATGGTGTCACCGCTCAGCTCCACTGCCAGGCTCGCTCTGGGTGCTGGCCGCTGGGTGGGGTCTGTGGCCTGGCCGGGACCAGGGTCGCCGGGGCTCCTCTCGGACGGACGAGGAAGGAGGTGGGGGTGGGGGCTTGTCACATTCGCCCTGCAGAGCGGCCTCTCCGCTGGCCCTGGCCCTGGGCCGCCCGCTGCCTCCGCGACTGCGGCCTTCCACGCGAGTCTGACCGCGTCCGGCGTCAGCCACTGGGTATGCAAGAAGCGCGCGGAGCCGTGGTAGAGAATCCACTAGCTCACCACAGGATAGTAGCCGCCATCACCGTGCCTCCCCAAGCTTTTTTTAATCAGTAATATTCACCTGTTACCATTCACACCTGGCAAGTAAGCAAATTCAATGCAGATGTAGATAAAAGTCTGCTTCCAGGTGATACTCATACTCCTCTTTGAAACACTTGGGAAAACACGGGTAAAGCATCCAGTGGCAGTGGCACCTGAAACCAGTTGTAAGTGTAAATTGTCCAGCCCCACCTCAGCCCTTTTGCATCAGCACTTAGTTAATAAGTCCTCCAGGGGACTCCATTGCAGGCTGGAGTTGAGAACCACTATTATTGTCTACATCTGAGCTATTTGTGTTCCTTGGCAGGACATGTGGTCATTAGTCAAGGACAACAGAATATGAGAAAATGACCCTCAACTAGCACAAGGAGAACTGCCAAAAACTTTTGCCTAGCAAAGTCCTTCTCCAGGTAGAACCTGAGAAGAATCCTTTGCACAGAGGAGACTGTGGGTAGAGGATGCCAATACCACAGCCTCCTCAGAACTGTTTGATTGAACTGATATAGGGGGGCCACCCAGTGCAATGACTGGGTGCCCTGTAATACTAGCTCCTGATGGCCATGAAGGGAAATTGAAATTCCATAGTAGGTGTCCTGAGGGTCTGCGTAAGAGGAGTGCAGAAAGACTTCTTAAAACTGGTTGGGAGACTGGATAGAAAGAAGTATGAGAGATCAGTGTCTCTCATCTTACTGCTGCCGTGCTTCATACAAAAACAGCACACATGACTGGTGTGATTAATGACAATAACTTCCACGCCTGGTGAGAGAGGAACCTTGTGATCAAGACCTAGGTAGGGTCCTCCAGCCTAGAAGAAATCAAGGGGGTCCTTTTCACAAAATTTCATCTGCTACCTTCTCATCCCGTTAATTACCTAGGAACAAAGAAATTGAACTCTAAAGCTTTGCTCACTTTGGAGGGGATCTTTGAAGTCTCTGAGCACCGATGCTGGGAGGTAGGCAGGGCTGGCCCGATCTCCTGTGGCTGGCCAAGCAGCGTCTCTCTAATCGTGGCTATTAAACTGCTTTCTTGGGAGATGTTTTTTTATTCGTCTGGAATAGATTAAGAGTCTGTTTTGAATCCCCAGGGTTTCTTGTGGAGCATAATTATGGATGCATTGGAATAAGAAATTCAGGTCAACAACTTCTTTAATGAGATGTCTGAAGAGCCTGGCCCAGCAGGGTGTAGGGCAGAAGAGAGTAGCAGAGAAGCTAGAACTGGGGAAGAGGAGGCAAGAGAAGTTGGGAGGTTGGGGAGGTATATAAACTGGTCAGTTGAGGGACAAAGAAATGAAATTTGGTGTTTTTGTTGTGTTTTTTGTCTGTTTGTTTTTTAAACTTTTAGGAGGTAAGCTAAGGAGGCAGGAACACAGAGGAGAGAGAATGGAGATTGGAGAAGCAAGAGAAGCCACCAAAGAGAGGGGTGCAGGTAACGTGAGAAAACAGTTCAGTCTAAAAGCTAGGAGAATAACCCAGAGGGTTCACAGAGAGGTTCAGAGTATTGTGTTCTGACATTCTGTCCTCGAATCTACCTGGAGACAAGGAAGTGGGAGAATGAAATGTCTTTAAGCCAGGGCCTTAAACCAGTGTGTTTTCTGGTTCAGTGACAGCCAAATGAGTTATACTGTAACTGACTCAAAGTCTTGATGTTTCTGTGAACCAGAATAACATCTGAAATATGAAAAAAGATAGGTGGAAGTTCTAGAAGATATTTATATCCCTCTCAGTTTATGAATTATGTTGTTGTTATTATGTGCCATTGAGTCACCTGCAACTCACAGCAACCCTACGTACAACAGTCCTAAACCCTGCTCGATCCTGTGCCAAACTTACTGTCTCTGACACACCTTCCCCCCCACTATCCCAGTAACTGAATCAATCCATCTCATGGAGGGTGGTTTTCCTCTCTTGTGCTGCCACTCCACCCTCCCAAACATGACATCCCTCTAATAATCAAATCTCTTATCCATTGAACTTTGAGCAAGGTCAGAATCAGAAGTGTCTAGATTAAAGACGGCGGCCAAGCACACCACTTTCAATCTACATTACTCTTCAATAGTCCTAACAGTAACCTATTTTCACACATTCCTCCAAGTTTCCAAGTCTTCCACTCCAGTGCTTGAAATCATATTTGTTTCCAGTTATGGTTATTCTAGGTAACCAAGGCTTTAAAAATTTAGATATGCACTAGTTTTGCTTCTCTAGAATTGACTACATTGGTTTGAACACATTGAAAACCGTGTATCAAACAGATACCAGTGTAATTTCTAACTCCAGACTTTACTTGCTGTGTGACTTTTGGAAAATCATTTAACCTCCCTGGACCCATTTCCTCGTGTGTAAAATGAAATTTAACTATTTAGGGTGTGTTACACTTCTAGAATTCTAAATGGATTATTGTTTGGCATACACTGGGGAGTAATAGGGGGGAACAAGTTGGAGAGTGAGATTGATTCAGAATAGGACAGGGCTCAGAGCTATTGTGCATAAGGTTGCTATGAGTTACAGGTGACTTAATGGCACATAACACCAACTAAATTAGTGCTGTAATGAAAACTCTGATAATGAAAGATGCTAGCTTTGCCCAGCTCTTCTGAGGTCATCAGTAGCAGAGCTGAAATCTTAACATGGAGTTGATTGATTCACATCTCACCAAGGAAAGTGTACAAGTGTTCTATGAAGGAGCACCAGGTATGTTCTCCAGGGCGTACCCTTTCACCCACAACTTAATAGCTGCCTCTCAGGTTAGTAGAAAATCAACCAGCTTCCATTAACCCATGGCAAGATTTTCAAATTAAACATCACCACAAATAGCATATGAACTATAAAACAGACAAACAGACATCAAAATAAATTAGTGAATTCTGGTGACATAGTCTAGTCTGAACCCAGAGACCACATGGCTCTGAAGATTTGAATCCACCATCAAATCCATAGGAGAAAGATAGGCAGTTTCTTCTTCTTGCAATTTGTAATTCTTTTTGAGATAGGAAAATCAATGGAGGGTCAACTCTGAGTCAGAACAAACACAATGGTGGTGAGTTCTGCATCTCAGATACTATGATTTTTACTATTTCTTTTTGAATTTTTGCTAATATGAAGCTCCATTGGTATAGTTCATAGAAAATTAGCTGCCGGCTAAATTACCGCACTTTACTGGAGGTTCAAATCCACCAGCTGCCCAATCTCCTACTATGACACATATATCTCCAAAAATGTGGAGAGTTGGTTAAGAGTTGGTTCTGACTTGACAACAGTGATTTTGACTCTGACTTTGAATACCTCATTTGATACAGTAACTGGGAAAATGGGGTTAGGTGTGTCAGAATCAGTGAGACTGGCTCAGGACAGGGCAGGCTTCAGAGCTGCTGTATATAGGATCGCTATGGGTTGCAGGCAAATTGACGGAACATCACAACATCATCACAGGTTTTCTACTAACGTTTTCTACTAATTGAAAGTTTGTAGCACTTCATCATCAAAATGTCTGTTTGTGTTATCCCCCCACCCCTCTTTGAACCTCTATGTTGCATTCTGGCCGAACTTTTCTGCACTGCTATCTGTTGCACACTCACTAGACTACAGTGTTACTAACTCATTACTGTTGAGTAGGAACCAAATCACAGCTGACCCTCCACTGGGTTTCCCAGGCTGTAAATTGTCTGGGAAGAGATTATCCATCCAATGCAGCATCTGGGGGTGTGGTGGGGGGAAAAACACAACTTAATGTGACGTGCTTTATTACAGTGGACCAGAACAGAGCCTATAATATCTCTAAGGTATGCCAGTTCTTAAAAATGGTTCAAATAAGAAAAACTGGATGAAGTATGTTTACGGCATTGAAGTCTATGGGGGAGAGATAGTCTAAAAGTATTATATTTTAGGGCATTATTTTTATCGTAAGAGTACGCAATGAGGGTTGCAGAGTGGATTATATTTGGGAGTAGGGGGTGGGGTTTGGGGAGGTGCGGGGGGATTGTGTACCAATGAGGGGGTTTTTCTTTTGCTTTTCAAGGAGAGGAGCAAAGGGGGGGGGAGGGGTTTGTGCGGGGAGAAGGGTGCAACAATGAATGAATGGAATTCCAAAATCTCTGTAGATGTTCATTGAAATGAAAAATAAACAAACTAAATTTTAAAAAAATGGTTCAAATGTCCAATATTTTGCTCCATCTATTTTACCACAATCATCTTTTTCAAAGTTGCTTTGCCTCAGGCACCAGGACTGGGCCTTCTTGGGGCTGCCCCTCTTTCTTCTCACTCTCTGCTGGTTTCTCAAATGCTGGTAAGTCTTGCACTCCTTATGAAAAGCTGCTCACGTCCCACAGCCCGGATTAAACCCCTATGCCTTGTCTCTCTTCTCCTATATTCTCTCCATGCTAGGAATTCCTGAGCCTTTTCTCTGCACAGCTTCTCATTTTCAAGCTAATATTACAATTAGTTCTTCATAACTTGCTTATCTCATTAATAATGAGTAATTTCTAGGGAAAGATTGTGATTTTTATCATTTACCAGGCCTCAGAATTTAGCACTGAGTAGCTATTCAATACTGAAGTGGGGAAAGGAGACTGAAAAGCTGTAGGCAGAAGATCACTGGGCCTCTGTACATCCTGGTCAGCCCTGGGATGCCCATAGTTTCAGATTTATGAAGATATGGGCAGACGTTACTACTAA